ACCAGCATGGAACTTGACCTCCTAACTGAGCACTTTCCAATCTTCCTGCCATTCACCTTCCATCCTTTTTGCATGTTTGTTTCTTTGATTCATCCAGTCACCCTAAAGTTTAATGTAACTTTTCCAGCCCTGATCTCCCGGTTCCTTGCCCAACCTAATTTACACGCAGCCTCAGGCTACTCTGGAGAGCTACATTAACCAGGCTGGCGCCCTCTACCATCATCACACCAGCATTGGGCCTGGCTTGTCTGGGCCTGTGAGTGACACACACTGTCATTACCACTCTATTTCCACTCTGTGAAATTAGGTAACTAGGTCGTTTACTTGTGAAGAGACAATAAGGTAAATAGTGTGATTTCTTTTAACTAAAATCTTTCTTTGGAAAGACTTGTGCTTTGTGTTTGGCTCCTGGTTGTCTTTCAGAGAGTTGGTACTTTGCTACTTAAAAATTGATCCTTGACTGATTTATTCATTCATTCATTTCATAAATACATATTGTGCACCTACAGGTACCTACTAGGCATCATGTCCTAAATGCTCTAGGTATAACAGTAAACACTATAGGCAAAGTCCCTGTCTTTTTCTAGAGGAAATAGTGGTGAATAGATGATAGGTAGGTAGATAGATGATATAGATAGATAGATAGATAGATAGATAGATAGATAGATAGATAGATAGATGATAGATGATAGATACTAAAAGAGAGAGAGATGAGATAAAGAGAGAGAGGCATGAATAAATATCAGGTGTTGTTGACTGGTCTAAAGAGGACTAAAACAGGCTAAGGATAATAGAAAGTATCAGGAAAATAATTGCTATTTATATAATAAAGCAAGTCAGGAAGGACTATTCAGGAAACATTCTCTGATAAGGTAACATTTAATCAGAGATCTGAAGGAAGCAAAGGAGAAACACACCTGGAAACCTGGGAGAATTACATGCTAAGTCCAAGCGCACACCATATGTGAAGACCAGTACTTACAGACTCAATTAGAAATTAACCATCTTGTCATAAATTTCACAGTAAAAGCAGATTGTTCCTACTAGTAACTAAGAAAACTTGCGTACCAATGGCAGCAGCGAGCATCATTTTTTCCGCTCGATTACATGCCATGGTCCCACAGCATGACAAAGTGCATGTACAGAATCATTATATAGAGCTTCCTCCATATATTTTATATCAAAGGAGAAACTTTAGGTTCGAAGCATAGTTCATTCCTCATAGAAAAGGAAATAAAAAAACCTTAAAAGAAAAATCCAATTCACTTGAGCTATCTTCTTTCAAATGATTATAGTTGAAAGCACACCCACCAGGGATCAGTGTAACCACAGTAATGGATTGCCTGTCTTCAAAGCAAACTGGCCTTGATTCTTTTCAAAACACTGTTTTAATGAAATTGTGACTTAAATCTCTTCCTGTCTTCATTTTTCAAAAGCTTAGCTGAAATACTAAGACTTGTCAAACATTGTGTTGTTTTGGTTATCATAGGTAGACCTTAGTGATAAATTCTATTCTTCTCGTAGTGTGATTAACCATCCTGGTTTGCCCGGGACTGAGGGAATTCTCACAACACTGGATATGGAACTTTCAGTGCTAGAATTAGAGAAGTCCTAGGCAAACTGAGAGGAGGCAGTCACTCTACTACAGTGATTCCTAACATTATTTAAGAAGGACTTTCTTTTTCCTTTCTTTTCTTTTCTTCTTTTTTTTTCTTAGAAGTCTGGCAACAGAGCTCTGATTAAGAAGGTCTAGAAAGCTGAATTTCAAACAAGCTTTTTGGTAGTTTGGCTACAAATAGATTTTGCATTTAAATTCTCCAAAAAGGGAGGTGTGTGATATTAGCTAAAGAATGTAAACACAGTGATTGAGCAGAACAATGTATTACAATGACTTCATTTTATCTTCCCTCCTCACCAAAATTGCTTCTACTTAGCAACAAAGAAATAATTTATCCTCTACTAAACTGATTTATATACAAACATAAGTATTTTGTCGACTGACCGATTAGAAATAAAAAATAGTAATTTGGAGTTTGTATTACTATCTAAATTAAAATCATGATAGTGATTATTTACTGATTGCTTACTATACATTAGCCACATTTACATTCTTTTCTTATTTAATCCTTAAAATAACCCTGTAAAGTAGATACTATTTTTCACACTTTTCAGATTAGGGTACTGTAGCTTAAGGATGTTAAGTTTCTTGCACCAAACAACTAGAAAGTGGCGACCTGCAATCCAAGCATAGGTCTTTGACATAAAAGAGCTTTTTTCTGTAAAACAACCATGTCATCTCCAAACTTTAACCTTTTAACACTTTTCAGTGTGTCTTTCTTCAGGCATTGGTGAGAAAATTAAAGAGGCCATATTTATTCCTCAAAAAGCAAATCTCTGGGCTTCTGAAAATCCAAGATGGCAGAGTAGATAAACACTCTGCCTGCTTCCTTTTGTAAATACATTAAAATTANTTTCAGTTAAAAGTCTAAAATTTTATAGCTAAGTCTTGTTTAATCAAAAAATATTCACCAAAAAGATAGTTCTTATTCTCCATCCAATACTGAAGATGGGTAGCATGGTCTGCTCTAAGTTCCGTTTGCATGTCCCCATGTATAAGCACAAGCACCAGGTAGTTTTTCACGAGCATAGTGACAATTTACTAGAATACAGCAAGGACAATGTTAATAATCCAAATGAGGTAAACATATTTTGAAGGGCAAAATACATACGCTTAATCATGTTTTAGGCTACTAGAAAATTCTAATACTGATTTAATGTCAATAGATAAATGAGAGAAGACTCTAACTGCCCTCAAATTATGGTGCAATTTGATATAAAAGAAAAAAACAAACAACAACAACAAAATCTCTGTTTTATGAGTAAAGTTTCATTCAGAGACCTGGTAATAGTACAAAAGAGGAGAGGCCTTCATCAGTGCTCTTAATGAACTTTCCAACTGATTGAGGTAAAATGTATGCATGAAACATAGGAACAAGTACAAATCTGTAGATGAATAATTACAGAAATGTATGAAAAAGAACTAATGCCTTATTTACACATCTTTTATGGAAATGGATATTTTCTATTTAAGCTAATATTCCAGGTAATTAACACTTGGTCTAGCAAAATAAGTTTTAACAATTTTTACTTAAAATATCTCCAAAAGACATTGTTTGATTAAATAATAGATTTAGAGCCAACCATGATTATTATTTCCTGTTCTCTGTAGTAATATGGGATTTTTCTTACCTTATCATGTCCAATTTACTGATTTTTCCAGGCTTCCCCATTTCTGAGTGCTTCAAATGACCCCAAGTTTGATCATTCAAACAATTGTTAGAATTGCTGATAAAATAGAATTAGTAGCTCTGAATGTTGGTCTGTACTCTTCTGATTCAAAATAAAATGCTGCTAGCTTTAGTGCTTATAATTTTATATAACACAGAAGCATTTCTAAAGTTATTTTCTGATTCTTTGCTAAAGTCTTAGCTATAGATACATTTTATGCTACTGTGATTAGCACAGCATAAAGAAATGATAAAATGTTTGTGGAATGAAAAGTAGTTTTCTTTGTGAGTATGGTGCTAATTAACAACATAATTGGTGGTAAGGACTATAAAAGATATTTCTATGAAGGGAACTTTTATCCAAATGGCAATAAAGATTCCTATGAATTACGAGGTAGTAAAAGATCTAGTTAATTTTAATATGGTGTTTTGATTTTTATTGTAATAAAGAGAATATGAATAAAGAGAGAAAATACACATGGATTTCCTACTACCTCTAAAGAAGTTCAGTAAGGAATAGTAAAATTATAAAGTCCCTATATCACAAAGCATATCTGCTACTATAATCAATAAATAAAAGAATATAAGACGCCTACACTGATTATATTTNGTCACTGACCCTCATGTGGGATCCGAACCGGTGGCCCTGCTGCTCAGAGCCGGCACTCCCAAGCCAACTTCCAACCAACAAGCCACTCGGCCGGCCCTAGATCACTTTTGTAATGTTAAAATAATTATGTACATAATGAGCAATGTGCATGTTTGGTCTCATCATATAGGAAGTTTACTTAAATCATTAGTTAAAAAGTGTTTTCCCACAATTTGTACACTATTTGATTTGCTTGTTAATACAATTTAAGTTATGCTGTGGAGTCCTTTCTGACTTTTTGGGATCCAGTTACCTTAGAAATTCTTTATCCGAATGCACCCTAATGGTACATAAGTGTACATAGCCATCACATCGACAATTGAATGTTAAGAATATTAGAAGTAAGAAGCTTTTGGAAGTTATATCTGAAGCCTAGATTGTGGTTACCATTAGGTAACATTTTGAAATTGGATGCTTTTATTTTCTAGACTTTCTGCCACTTTGGTACCAGATGCCAGCAAGAGCAGAGAGGTACTCGAAGTGTAAGCTGGACCAGCAACATCAGCACCTCCTGGGAGCTTGTTAGAATTGCAAATTCTCAGACCTTCCCCTACCAGATCAGAATCTCGGAGGGAGGGCCCTGAGATCTGCGTTTGAATAAGCCTCAAGTGATACTTCTGAAGGTGGAGTGTGAAAAAGACTGATACAAGGTACATTGTGCCATTGAACCTGGTCACTTCTTGAGCTGGTAATGGCCATGTCCGATTCCACTTTTGAAACTTTACCTGGGAGTACCATAAACTGCTAAATAAATGAGCTCATTCCTGAAGATATAAGAACAAATACATTCCATAAGCATCTACATTTCAATAGCAGCTTTTTGGATATAAGTCTCATTTTCATTATTAATTATATTAGTTCATCTTTAGGGGGAATTTTATGTAGGCTAAGGACATAATTTTTGACAGGTGGGCTATCAATTAGAGTAGCAAGCTGCCTGATCTATGCATTGACCCTGCCTTAGCTGATACAACTTTACACTCATCAAAACTCAGGACTTATTACGGGCTTTCTGTCAAGGTGTGGTTGCATATATTAAAGACATTTTCAGATTTAGTGACTTTATGTGAGCTATTTCTTTTCATTTGAAAACTTTCAAGCTTTAAATCCATTTGATNGAGAAAAAGGTGAAGGGGAATAATAGTTCCAAACTTCTAGGAATAAAACAAGTAAGTCATAGGCATGTAATATACAGCATAGGGAACATAGCCAATAATATTGTGATAGCATCATATGGGGTCAGATGGTTGCTGGACTTATCACAGTGATTGCTTCTTTAGGTATATAAATGTTGAATAACTATGGTGTGCACCTGAAACTGATACAATGTTGTATGTTAGCTATATTTTAATAAACCTTTTAAAAATGCAAATCTTTGAAATATTTTCCCCTCAGATATAATTAATAGACACCAGATCCAGATTCTGTACCTTTGAGCAAAGGCCTAAAATCCAAACTCTCACATTTGCTCACTTATTTGTTTTCAGTGACTTAAGCCCAAGTGCTATCACCTTTGAGATTTCATTCTTGATGTAAAATGATCCACTACTGGGCCTACGAAGAAAGAGTTGGGTCTAGGGCTGATCTGAGTTAGATATAAGCCAGCTGTGAGTCATTATGTAGATCCTTGTCTAGGTAGGATGCGCACATAGGTTGAAGTTCCTCAGTTTCACCAAGCAGTGTGTTGAAACTAGGTAGGAAATGCCAGTGGACCGCTCCCTGGATTTTGTCCCCCAAGATTTTTCCACTCCCACCATGGTGTCCCTTATTCCACTTTTTCTTGGTCACAGTTCTCCTTGCTCCCGGCTTCTTATTTTGCTGGTATCCTCTCTGAGTCTGACTTGAATCTACAGTTTATCCACTGATTTGGGGATCCTTCCCATCCACCATTGCACCTGGCAAATTACCTCAGTCCTATCCAGTTATGATTTGGCTGGGAGCATCTCCATAGCCTACGGAGTATACAGGTATATGTCTCCTTGAGATGGAAATCTAGAGATGTGGTATTTTGTCTGTCCTAACCATGTAACTAACCTTGTAGCTACGTTGAAACACTTCTTCAAACTCTGAGAGAAGAGCTGCAGAAGTAGTATTTGCAACTCCGCCTTCACAGGCCTTCCATTTTTAAGCCATAAGGTACTGGGGGGGGGGGGGGGGGGGGGGTACAGCCTGTTTGCCTGTGTTTCCTTCCTTCCATCCTGCAGAGTCTGCTAATCTCCTTATTCCCCCTGTGGTTGTTCTCCTCAGAAGCCTAGGGAAAGAGTGGAATGCAGTCTCTGCTGCCCTTCGCTCTCTATGAAAATCAGCCCACTAACCTTTTGGTATTAAGGGGTTTACTGCTAATTGATTCTGTTCACAGAGTACCTATTCTTTGAGATTTTCCATTTGGAGAGGGCAGGGAATTTGATGGAACATTCTAAAATTGAGTAGTAGAATTGGGTTGAGAGTGATGGTGGTGCAAGTCTATACAGCACACCAAGTGCACTCAAAGTGTGATCCAGGAATCCCTGGGGTTCCTAAAATTATTTCCATCACATCAACTTTTTCACAGGAAAATGCCAAGGCATTATTTGCCTTTTTCTTGCTCATTCTTTTATAATATTTTCCAGAGGGCTCATGCTATCACAATATCATATATTGTTGTGATACTGTGATATTTCAACAGATAGAAGGCAAAAGCAAATATGGGAATCTAACAGTCATTTTCTATTGGACCATTCATTAGAGAGATTTCAAAAATATTAAACAATGTTACTTTCTCACCAAAATTTTGTTTGCACAACACTAAGATTCTCAAGATGGGATTGGGAGAGGGAAATAAAAGAGAAAAGGAAGACAGAGGTATCTTCACAGGGGTGAAACTAGCCAGGGTGCTAAGTGTCTGCTGATATGAACCTGGGAACAGATGAGTTGGTGGAGAACTTTTAGTTCTTTTAATGATATAAAATAAGTTAGACCTGTATTTTTCTTTGTTTAAAAACCAGGGAGCTAGAATAAACACATTTCATGTTTCATTTTATTCTTAAATGTCCTTTCATGTCATTAAAGCATTTACAAAATAATGAAATTTTGGACATGACAGTTGTATTACACACATGAAAACCTGACTTCAAAGAGTAGCTCTTAAATCTCAGACAGTGAAAACATTTGAAATACCTTGTTTATGCTGCTGTGCTTATTTGCAACAGTAATTAAGCTCATTTGATTTCAGTTTCACTGCTCTGTAAACTGAGTTGTTGTTTGTTTGTTTCTTTAAGTAAAAGAAAATGCAGGAGAAGAGGGATGGAAGGTGGGTCAATTCTTGAGTTGCAGTCTCAAGGTTTATAAAAATGAGTTTACAGGTGGGATTGTAAATTTCCAGTAAAGGTACATGCTCTTGAATCCAAATAGAGAGGATTTTCAGGATGGGAATGATCATATAGACAAAAAAATTATTTTTACAAAAATCACTGGAATGAGAATTAAATTTTGAAAGGGAAATTTCTCTAGGAACTTATAGTTTAGGAAGCTATAATTAAAACTAACTTCATCTACATATTCTGCAATTCTAGGTCTTTGCTTTCTCGAGCATCTCAGAGTTGGGTCACTCATCATTTCTTTGGGCTTTCCCCATTCAATTTCCAAACAAGAAATTCAACTGCCCCTCAAAAAAAGAGTGTCTCATGTTCCCACCTGCCCTTCCTCAAAGTTTCTCTCTCCTGATCTTTGGGCTTTTCCAACAGTTTCTGAACCCAGTTCCTCAGGATCTCAGTCCTGGACTATAGGAATGATTTCTGTTTGGTCCACATTCTAAGATTCTATTCCAGTGGACTGTCAAGATCTCTCAGTCTCCCCTGAGGACTAACTTTATTCCCAAGGGCTATAGCATTATACTCGATCAGTTAGGGCTCTGTTCCCTGTGAGCAAATCTTCCATGCTCCATTTCCTTGTAACCATTTTGTACCCAGAGTTGTCACACCTGCTACTTTGACACCCCAGATGCCTGGGGATTTCCAAGCCCTCATTGACATACAGTGCACACTGCTCACCCCCTCGAATCTCAGCTGAGTGTTAGCTTTTGTATATCCTATCCCTACCCTTACTCCCACCCCTTCACTGTTCCCTTGGAGGAATACCACCTTAATTCTCTGACAAATGATGTGCTGTGACAGTGAAGCATGAATCTTCAAGAGGCTATATTTAATCTTGCTTCTGTAAAGTAAACATTTAAAGTAAACTGAAGAAAAATAAATTCAGCATGTGTCTGAGGATTCCTTCCATTGTTAAGTACATAAAGTATGATTTTTTTGTGTATCCTACTAAGCTTAAGCAAAAATGTATTGGCTTATAAACTTTAGCGTTTATAAATGGGCCTCGCTTTAGGAATGACTTGATCTAGGAGCTCCAATAATGCCATCAAGTCCTGGGTTTCTTGGCTCTGTATAAATCTTCTTGCTTCCATTCTTCATACAAGGATTGATTTTTTTTTTCCTTTCATGAGTCAAGATGGCTCTATCTCAAACCCTGATTAATGTCTTCCTAATTTAGCAACCTGATTAAAAGCTTCTGTCTCATAATCTCCAAATATCCATCTCAAGCCTTATTTGGGTCCTCTGACTATGCTTGCACCAATCACTGTGGGAAGGAAATTAAGTGTTCTTAGTTACAGGGACTGAGCCTGTGGGAGGAGAAGGTCAGGACCCCTCTGTTTGGACAGCTGAGAAAAAGCAGAATGTGATTTCCCCAAGTCCCCCCCCCTTCCATTTCTGAAACTCCACAGGCTGTTTCTATTCTAACACGAATCACATTGTATTAGAGTCATTTTTATATTTCCATTAGACTGTGACATTCTGAAAACCAGAAAATCAGTCCTTCTGAGTTTCTTATCCCAGAGCCAAGCACAGGCCCATATCACACAGAGTCAGCAGTGAAAAGAGGTCGTGAAATGAAGAATGAGTATGGTTTCTGGCAGTTTGAAGTCAGTATGGATTAAAAAGAGCTCATTTTGCTTGTCATCTTCAAAATAAGCAAGCGGTAACTCTGTAGTGTTTCCGACTATATATTATAATTATTTGATTTTCAAAGCCAGTTTCTCCTGTTATTTCACTTTAAAGTTTCTACCAATTATTTCTGGGACAACCTGGATGTATCTGTATACCAGTTCTTTGGGATGGTGTTAGGAACAATCAACACAAGAAATTCCATTTATGTATGTATGTATGTATTAATTAATTCATTCTGATACAAAAAGACAACTGGTGACTAAGGGGATGATCACCCCTGACAGTAGCTGAAATTTTTAAATGGCAACAATGCCAATCTGTTTACTCCAAAGCACATCACAAAACACTGAAGCATTTTCTACTAGCCCCTTCTTAAAGCACCTACACAAAATCCTTCTGATTTTGCCCCTACTTTGCCATTAAAATAAGAAGAGAATAGAAGTTTCTGTTGCCCATTCTTCAGAACAATCTCCTTCCTACATTCTAAGACTTATACCATCCCCTCGAAAACCCAATGAGTTCTGATTATTACTGTTCACTCCAAATGTCTTGAGGCCGAAACAACTTTATAAACCTTTTTATTCTTCCAAATGTGAGATGAAACTAAACTTAGTGATCCGTGTCTCTAGTTTCACTTGCATCTCTCTCCCTTCCTTGAATTCTGCTTT